GCTGTTTCTCTATATACAGTTGGAAATCCGGGGTATTTTCCCCATCATACAGTGCTGGAAATCCAACCTCATCAACAGGGGAGGTGCAGAATTAAACTGGAATGGCCCATTATAAATTTGGCATACAATCAGTACTATGATATTCATAGTTGTAAATTGCAAAAAAAATGCAGGGTTTTTTGAGGGTGTTGCCTGTACACCACTTAGAGACATTATGAGAGCCCTTGTTCAAGGTCAAATACATACTGTAAAACATGTTTAAATAGTGCCAACAATCTCATTGTGAGGATATACTTTATTTTAAATTAGTGACATCTTGAATTAGCGAAATTACAGATTAGCTAAATTAGCTAAATAGCATGCTAGCTAAAAAGACATGTTTTCCAGTAGTCAGAATGATGAGTTTAAACGCTCAGATCCAATGAAACAATCAAGTAACAACTCACCATTAAAAACTTAAGATCAGCTCTATCTGATGGATTCTTTATCAAACTGTCAAGAAAAAAAAAAGGAAAAAATAAAGTACAACAATCATGCAGCAAATAAAATACAGATATAACATCTTAACACAATGTATGGATTAACAATTAACTGACATCTGCTGCAAAATAGAAATAATCAAAGAATGTTGAAGAAAACTGAAAATAAAATAACTGCCAGTCCCTCAAAACTGCTGCCAATCAAATGACCTGGATCGGATCTAATTTGCATGGATGTGTCAAACAAATGTCTCGCAACTGTATTTTAATCTAAACATGAATATGAAAAGACAAACAGACAGACATACAGACTGATGGAACACATGATGAATCCTAGAAAAAACTGAGGCTAAAAAAGTCATGGTGACATAAAATGAGCATTAACAAATTACAGTATGCATTAATCTGATTAAGATACGATACAGATAGAGGCCGGTATTTGAAGTAGGTGACCAACTAAATACATGATTTTTCAACTAATTAGAGTACGACTTACTAGAAAGCAGTATGTAAGAAGAGTTCTAATTGGTGGCTTATCCAGCAAGATCTGCACTAGAATTGCATAGGGAGTTGGTAATGTGTACTTAGAGACATTGTACCCCAGAAAGAATTACAAATTATCATCGATCTATATCAGATATTAATTAGACTGAGTACAAATTTGATGAACTAAAATCCTAGCGAAACAATTTTGCTTTTTTATGAGACTCAGAAATAATAACAATCTTACCATTGATTAACAAAATCTATAAATTCTTCAGAAAATACCTTACTGGGTAACCTCGGTGGAGGCTGCAAAACAAACAGTGACACTATTATAAACCATCAAATATGAATAATTCTAAACATTTAAACAATGTATGCATTTGACAAAAGGAAATAAAGATGACAAAAGTATGTTTAGTCTTCTTCTGATGGAATAAATCAAGTGACAATGATACATGATAATTCTAACTTGGCTAGAGGAGCCTAATGCATGCCATATAAAACTGTTGACATCAGGCTTTCCAGCAAGACTTCACACAAGAGAAAGAAAGCAATGCAGTTTCAACCAATTGAGTGCTCAAAATTGCTTTTGTCGTACATAAAATATGGAATTTTGTTCCACATATGTTTTTTTTTTAAATGTGATCAACACCTTAGAAGAAATTAGAAGAAAATTATGTCTCTTTGACCCAAATTAACAAAAAAATTATAGAAAAATAGAGCAAAATGTTGCACAAAATTTGAGTGAGAAAATCATGGTATTCAAATAGCGAAAGAGCGGTGATCATTATGAGACTGCGTGTTCGATATAGTGTGTATAGCGATGTACACAGAGTAAAATACATTGTTTACATGAAATTCAAACAAGAGCTGCGTGACGATAATCGCCCTTTGACTATCTCAAGTAAACATGATAAACAAGGATAACCTGCAAGATCTTTATTACAACACGCAGGAATTAATGCGGGTTTATCTTATTAGCTATGAAAACTTATTCGAACATCACATACTATGAACTAAAACTAAAATACTTTGTGTTCATTGGCTAGCTTTAATTCACATGGGAACTTCCCCCATAATGTTTCTCAACATTCAGGGTCAATAACTAACCGATGGCGTTCTCATACCATATTTACAAGGCATTTTGGGATAGTTTTCCAGATCGCATAAATGCCGAGAAATCTGATTCTTCTACAATGCAGACTGGAGAGACTGCAAGGAAGTAAACACACAACACACACGCATGTGAAACACTTACCTCATTTACAATATATTCAAGTAGTTCAAATATTGCCATAGGGCGTGGTCCATCGCTCCCAAAACTACTCCCAAGTCCCATGCCTAGAAAAAATTAATGAACGGGCGTTAATTTAGATTGCACAGAAACAAAAAAGCAGAGTAAATATTTATTTGTTAGATCAGTTGAATAATACTAAGCTTACTCATATGAATATGCCAACAGATTGCATAATGCATTGAATCGGAGAATGACAAGATTTATGCACTAGCTAATGATTATGAGCTAATTATAGAATATAGAATTCTGTTGTTTGTTATGAAATGAATAATTTGAATGTGTTTTGGTGTGTAACATGGAATATACCAGCAGTAAAAACCTGTATCTCATGGTATTTTCACCATGCAGATACATGTGTTATGCATGTGACAATGAATGATATCACGGTTATAACAAGACAAGCAGCCTCTCGGCTGAAATAGCTCCGCTGTTAGTCATGGACATTTCAATTAAAGAACAGAAGATATCATTAGAAAATGAACAATATGCATAGTATCAATGCAATGGGACTTGCTGTTTTCAACGAGAATTCAAGAATATCATTTTTCACCATAAATGATTGTGGTTTTTAACAAGAAGAAAATATCACTTTTTACCAAAAATGACAAAAATATTCACCAAAATTAGAAAATTAAAGATATCGTCATGAAATGAACAAATTTGAAAATGGTCCACATGTCGTACCTATATATGTAATATCAAAGCAATTGGACTTGCGGTTTTTAACAAGAAGTTGAAAATAACA